TCTCTCCGGTCTCCGTCACTCATTCTCTCTCTCACACGCACTCTCTGTCTATCTTTTTTTCTCCATCGTTTTCCCGTGTGTCTCGCATTATATTATTCTTCTCGGGGGCTTTGTCCGGTGGCCCGCGCTTGCCCGTCTGTTTGTTCTCCTGCTCGTGCAGTGGTGTGCTTCTGCTGCCGTGGCGGCGATCCAGACAAACCGGTTTTCGGCGCGCACTCTTTATATTCTTATTATTATTATTACTACTATACCAGCCGACGCCGCCGCCTCAGATTCCTCGGATTCACCGTCGTCTCGGTATATCGGTGTCTCTCGGCCCCCGACGGTCGTCGTCGTTCGCGAGCGCGCGCGCGCTCTCCGACCAATTTACGCATTGTTTTTCATTATTATTATTTTTCTCTCCGGTCCGAAAAGATAGCGCGAATCGCGTCGAGCGATCGTCTGTCGCCGTCGCGAGTCGGGTCGTCCACCGCGAATAAAAATAATATATACTTTTTATTTTTCAATTTTAATTACCACCATTGGGAATATTATAATATATTATGTAATATGTGTGGCGGGGCACATATTATTATTATACACATACACACCAATCGTCCATCTGCCTCGGTGCAGTGTGCAGCACTGCAGCGTGTGTGCCGCCGCCGTCTACGGGTCGACTTATCATCTATCTATCGTTTTATATGGGTATGTGGTGGGGTGGTACGCATTAAATATTGGCGTTCGAGTCGTAGGTGTTTGTGTGCATAGTGTGAGCGAGAGCTAGCGATCGAGTAGGTATATAGTTTTCTTCTGCGAGACTATTACTACTTAGCGGTGCGATGTATACCAGATTGTGCGTGTGTGCCCATATACATATACGGGACGGATTTCTTCAAGCTATTATTATTGATATTTTTTTCCAATTCTAATTTGGAGGACGACGAGAAACACTGAACGGCGCTCGTGTGTGTCCGTACGCGACTGAGATAAAAACCACCACCGGTCACTTAAAATCCAATTCCATACACAACAATACGCATTATTATACGTATATGTTCACGTTTCACACGTTTAATCGTTGATACAGATCGTTGTCATTTAACCGTGACTCTTGGGTTCTTTTTTATACAAATTCGGTTTTAAACGATAAAATAACACCGTATTATATGATTTTATGATTTTAAATGAAAAAAGTTAGTAGGTACATAAGTACACACTTCCCTAAGGTTAGGTTAGAAACGCGTGTCAAAACTCAAAACTAATAATCATTAAATAGCTACCTTAAAAGTTATGTGTGGTTTACTCCTGCTGAAAAACGTTTACATACGTTTCATGTTAAATTGCACACCAATATTTTTGGCGCGTAGGGGCAAAAAAAAATAATATAGGATTTTTAAAATTTTAAACCATTATTATTTGTTGTCTTATTTCAAAACCATAACGTCAATTTTAAATTTTTTACACGGATGTAACGTGAAGAAATTAATTGTGTTTGGTATTTACAATAGATCCCACACAAATAATATCCCATCAAGGCCGTGTCGGAAGACTTCAAAAACATTTCACTTATATTAAAATATTATTATACCTTTACGATATACATAATACATATTTTATACGGCGTCTATCCGTGTTTATAAAATGTCGTATAACTACTGCAATTTAAATCCAAATAAACGTATAGAATTTATGATCAATATAATGATATATCTATATATCAGAGTATAATATTTTAGAAAATAAATACGTCAAATGACTAATTGACGTGGGAATGAATTAAAACCTGATTAATTTTATTCAATATTCATGGGCCAACCTAGTAAAATAATATCTTATGTCATATATTTATTAGTTGTTCATGTTATAATATTATGTTTATGTATATTATAAATTATAATATAGGTATCGTATTAATTTGATATGATATTAAATTATACCAATTCCGTCAGTATTTTACCTTTCGTAAAAAAAATTAAAATATTTTATTCGGTCTTTTTAAAAGTTTTGATTTTGAAATACGAAACATTATTGAAGATAATATTATAACAATATGGACGAGAAAGGTTTTGGGTTTTGTTTCATGTAAGCCGAACAATGAAAATTGAAAAATGTCAACTTGATTTTTTTTTGTAACGTCATTAATATGATTACTAAATATAAAATAGTATATATTACTATAAATAATATATTTCACAATTTCGGGTAGGTGTATACCTACCGCACATTTACTAGCTATATTAATGCTGTAAAAACTAACTATTGTGTGTGATGTGTTGTACGTTTAACTCTGTGCAGTAAGGGGAGATATCATTTCGTTTTATAATATACTTTTTTCAAATCCATCTATAACGCTCACCCTTTAAAACGCCACGTCCGAATCGATATCGACGCGCATCACTTGCTACTGCCGCAGCAGCAACAGCAGCCGCCACGCCGTCAATCGCGACTGCAGCGGGACACAAAAGAAAGAAGAGTCGCGTCTGTGTATTATTATTATTATATACATTATTATAGGTACACCTAACCCTCCCAACCACTACTGTACGGCACTAACCTGGACCACGGGATGGGATGTAGTCCTCATAATAATAATACGAAAAAAAAAATCCGTGAAACCACCACCGTAAAAAAAAACCAAAAAGAACCAAATCACCAGAACGACGAAATCCCATCAAACCCGCGTAATGGTATTTTCAAACGGAGCGTTATTAACGCGGAGGATATTGTATTATTATTATTATTATTATTATACAATCGATGGAAACATATTTTTCGCCTGGCCGAACGCGTTCATTTTATATCATATATCTGATCGACGTGCGCGCGCCTGCACATATAGTTCTGATCGGCATATGGGCACATATACACATATATACGTCTTATTATTATTTTTTTTTTTTATGCACTAGAAAATAATTGTTAATTATATTACGTATAATATTATGTATAGGAGAAGCAGTAACAACGTTTATGTGTGTGAGTACGAGCGCGTGTAAAGAAGATTGTCGTCTACCGATAAAAAAAAAATAATAAAAAAAACCGAAGCATTTGTCAAGTACTCCGGTGAACTCGGTTGACCCCACTTCACCGCCGCCCTGCCACACGGAGACCTATAAATCACGGACGCCATACCGCCCGCGCGATCGTTCCAGTTTAATGAGTTTGTTATTATTTTAGTTGCATTGTATATTATATCGTCGCGCGTGTGCCTTATAAGCGGATAAGTCGTCGAACACCACCGGTCAGGAGTCGACGTGTGTTTACGAGAAATACCAGAAAGAGAGAGAGAAATATTAATCCTATTCCTCTTCATCCTGGTTAGGTTTTCCGGGATCAGGGAGAGAGGAGGGGACGAGAACAAAAAGTCTTCCGTTTCTTTTATTCTTTTTGCTTTTCTTTTTCATAATAATATATTAAAATTCGACGATGAGTACAATTTAAAATATCCATTCGCTGCACAAATATGTGTGTATAGATCTCCAAATTTGAACAAGCTATGATTCTTTTTGTACATTATCTTAACGCTGTATTATAATATGATAGAGGATAGACGATGGCATCTGCTGCAACACTGTTGACAAACCACATCGCTGCAGGTAATTCAGTCTCCGGTGGCCTGTCTACGCGTCTTCTTCAACGTTCTGCACTGCCAAGATTTGGAAAACAATACAAGACCTATATTATTATTATTATTATTCGTTACTGTATTATGGTTTACTAGCTCTGACGATAATTCAACAATAATAACAATTGTGTCATAACCTAAGGACGGGCTGTTATATGAGTATAAGATTAAAAAAGGGTAGGTGTATACTATGGATGGTTAACTAAATATTTCGTAATTTTTGGTATAATAGGCTTGAAAATATTGCCGTATGATTTAGAATTAAAAGAAAAATAGTGGGCCTTCTATTTTTAGTATAGGGGGTGAGTTTTTTTTTTTTGAAACTTGCTCCGTGAGTTTCAAAAACTCAGGCAACCACTAACTGTTACTTATAATATAATATGATCCGTGTAATAAAATCTTTCGTCAGCAACAATCGTAGTCCTCGGCCGACTTTAACGTGGCTCAACGGACGTGCTTCTGATAAAAAACTCGTGAATTATTTCTGACCACTGTAGAATGAGATTCGACGCAAAGATACACGCAATACGCATGCGTGGCACTTAAGTACCTATATATTATGGGACATTTACATTTATTATAAATTATAATATACAACTACGACTTACCTACCTAATATACCTAATAATAATATATGATGATAATGATGGTCGGGCGCGGGTGACGACAACGACGATCGGTCTTACAGTGTGCCGCGCATAAACGACGGCTTTTATTGGACAATCGTCTTTTATGCGCGGAAAACAAAAAGTACAAAAATGTCAACATCGGCAGCTCGGAAGGACACTAATTGGAAACCAGATGGACAGTTTTGCGCGAGTGGCGACGGTGGCGGCGGCAGATGCCGAAGATAACGTCAGCGGAACAATGGGGGGGACGGAGCAAAAAAAAAATGTATAATATAATAACAATAATAAACGGGACCTTTCGATGGCGACTTTAGAAGTCATTATCAAACGCAGCACTGCACATATATGTATAATCTACTATAGATAATATTATTATTATTGCACGTTATATAAGACTGCAGACCTCAGCAATAATAGTAATAATAATAATAATGATAACGCTCAGCCCCGCCGCCGCTGCCGTTACACTTGTCAGTTGTGTGCATGTGCAGTATAATATTATAATGATATTGTTGTGTAAATGTGCAGCGATCTCTATATACAATAATTGTATATATATATAATTGTCGCGTGGTACAATGGTGTTATTTTTTACACTGTACCAATATATGCGATTTATATAGAAGTGCCCAAGTGTATTATATATATTATATTATGTGTGTATTATATTCGTTTGTTTGTGTGTCCGCAGGAAAGAAAAACGTTCAGCTATGAGGAGGAGGTAGCCGTCGCCACTAACCGTCGCAGCCGCCGCCACTGCCGTCATGCACAAGTATCACCAACAACACCACTACGACGACAGCAACCATCACCACCATCGCCACAACCACCATTACCTCAACCGTCACCACCGATGCTGTCTCACCGCGGTGTTTCTGCTGCTGGCCGTCGCGATCGCCAGCCCCGGACGAGCCGAACACGGTAAGCTTTGCTTACTATAATACATACATATAATAACCGTTATTGTTGTTTCGGATCGGAATTGGCTGACATATGGCACACTCGAAAAACCCACTCGACTATAACTCGTAATACGTACAATATTATATGTAGGCAATAGTATCGTGTTTCGATTACACACACCCGCCCACCGGTGCAGTGTTCCTCTCTACCGCGTTTAGCCCCTAGTGGAGCCGTCTCTGCAGCAGCAGCGCCAAGATCATAGTATATAGGTAATACCTACCTATTATACTTACATCCGATTAATATGTTACATTTTTGATGTAATGAATTACCGTGTTTTTGGTTTTCGTCGCAAAACACTGTATATGACAGGTATAGGCATATCATGATAATCGCGAAGAGATAATCGTTGTTTCCAAATATTCATATTATTTTTTTTTTATTAGACTGATTTCTCGCCATCACTTCTGCTCCCGTGTACGGTGCTCATTTATTTTGTTACCGATTTACAAATATTAGTTTAATACTTGCCGACTTGGGAAAGTATGCATGAAAATATACTCACCGGTTCCCATAAAAAAATACATATCCGGTCGTTAAAATGTCACGTGTCTCACGTAAAAACACGTCTCCGACTGTACACTCATAAATTACCGCATCATGGTGTGTGTGTGTGTGCGTGTGTGTATATATAATACTGTGTACTTTATGGGCTATTTTTTTTTTTTGTTAAATCTTAAAATCAAAATCGATTGCAGTCACGATTTAATGTTTTACACGTATTCTCTTTTAGATTTACTACACAGAATAATTAATAGAATAGTAGTTGTCATGTACCTAAATGTTATTTATCGACATTTATTATTTTATATACATTTGTAACATTATAAATGTTTCGTCATCAGTTTAATGTTCGAATATAATCTTTAATTTTCAAACCAATTTATATTGTTTAAATTAATTCGTACTTACATTATTATAATATTTATAATAACTTTACCTTTGTTTGCGTTCATGCATGATTATCAAAATAACTGCCGTGTGTTATTTTAATAATATATACATAATAATTGGGACGTAGCCGAGAAGTGTCGAGTTTATATATTTTTATGTTGGTAACTTCTCCATAGTTTGCACTTAGTTTGTACTTTATACATACGGTATTACGGTATAACAATATTGTTATAAACTATTTCACTACATTTTTTTGTTTTGGAATCTGAACAATACAAACATTAGTCACACTCACCCAGCGAATTTACATTCGTATTTTATAGTATATAATATTATACATTAATTATAATATATATATTTATATCTTATACATTTCCAACTCTCATTTTCTCTGCAGTCTCCACTAACTATAGCTCCCGATTCACAAGTCGACCCACTATTATTGTATCGCTAGGCGCCTACTAGTAGTAGTAGGCTACTACACTGTCTATAGTATAATCCTAATTACCAATCAGTAACGAAAAATGGTGGGGAGGCAACGTCAAAGTCATGTGTATATACGCCACTGAAACATAATATATTAATAGGTGTCTAAATGTTTTTATTGTAAATACATTTCTGCATTGCGATTATTGTAATATTTCGTTATAATAATATCGTTTATATTAAAGCGTTACGTTGTATTCGCAACGGGTAGTGTTCAATTTTAATATTTAAATACTCCCGAATAACAGTTAAAACGGATTTACTTTCACGAGACTTTACATTTTAATAATTTTGAATAATAATACTGACACGCGTGATTTGATTACGTCCATGTTGAACATTTTTTTTTTTTTATAAGAGTATTTCAGAAATATTTCGGTGTACGACTTTCACTATAGTGCTATTTCAAGAGTGGCTCATCATACACGTCATCGGTTTGTCTGACGTGAACGATATTTTTTTTTAGTCTGTCGCTGCAAATAATAAAGTCTTTCTCTAAAACGTTGAACTTTTATTTTTTTTCACACACACATAACAATTTGTATGATTAAACGACGACATTCTACGTTCGCGCCTGAAATTGAAAATTCTTTTTGTATTCATACTCGACGACAACGCACTAAGAAAATGTGATCAAAAGTGAACATAATATATTATTCCGTCTAGACTACCTATGTTAAGTCATAATTTTATACTACAGTAGATATCCATTACAGTTACTATACATTTTTACCATAATATACGTTCACACATAGAAAGTACTTATGGCTACTATACGACCACACTACAACAACTGTACTGCTTTTACTTATACGTACTCTCGTTATTATTGTATTTTTAAAACACACACAAACAAACGCTCGTATTAATCTTTCATTTTCTATGCACACAACAACGACGGCGCACGGGCGACGGCCAATCATCGCAGTAGGAACGAATTTCGTGCGCGCATTCTTAAATCAACATGCCCGGAGACTCCCCGGGGCCTTTTCCCGCACGACCGCCCTCCACCCCGCCACCACCTTCCGGTTTTCGTGTACCGCCACCGCCGGAGCGGTCTGTAAACGCGCGTGACGTTCTCGATATTATTATATTATTCCGTCTCGGAGTCTCGCGGTCCGTATCATTTTATGGGGCCGTTTAAAAACAAAACAAAACTATATAAATAACGTATAAGGTACACACGAGGTAATTTAACATATTTCTCCTCTACCTATATAACATACTCGTATATATTACATATATAATATACACTTATATATATTACATATAATATACTGCAATCTATATACACATACTCACACACGCACGCACAACCTGACACACGAGTGAAACCAACACCATTATCGTCTATAGGTATACACCGGACACTTCTCTATATGTACCGTATAACCTTCATTGGTCGAAACCATCAAACCCTCACTAATATATTACATCAGAAATATATATATATACATTTATGTATGCGGAAATTCCGGTGCGGGCACTCTCCTGCCAAAACTTAACCGCAGCGACTATGTATTTATATGTATATATATATTTATTATATTATGTATTGTATATATGATTGTATGAATTTATGTAATAAGTGAACATGGTGTGACGGGGTCGTTTGTATAATATATATGTATATGTGATGTACATACAATGTGTGTGTATTGTGTAGCTGGCGAGCAATAACATTTACGACGTCCATTACGCTTTGATGGGCGAAACCACGAAACGCTTCTAATGTGTCCATCATTCTTGTTGCCGCTGTGCCAGTAGAGGCTTTCCGGGGAACCGAAAAAAGTCGCCAACATTGCTGCACATGGGCAAATGGGTCGTAAATGAGATATATTGAACGTAATCGGTGTCTTGAAACACAACGCGAACTATCAGCTTTATATATAAACATATATATTGCGATTTCGCCCCAAAGCTATAATGTATATAAGTATGCGCAAAGGGGGTGGGGGGAGGGGGTGATTTCAAAAACGTCGCGGGAAAAATATGTCCCTCCGATCTGTGCAGAATCGTGGTAACAGCTTTTTAAACCGTTACGGCTACCATCCATAACGCCAAATGCGTTCAATAAACGTTTTTTACTTTCGTTTCTGTTACCGCTTTATATATATATATTTGTTTTGTTTTTCGGTTTTTTGTGAGCACTCACGAATACGGATTTTTAAAAATCGCTTAGAAATGAAACTAATACATATTTTTTTTTGTTCTAATATTATATTTTCGTCGAATAATTCATTTCAAGCATCCATTATCGCGGGACTTTTAGAACTTATAAAACCCAGCTTAACTTGTACGTACACACTTACATAACTGTCAGCAGCATATTATATATATACACCAGCGTCCACCAAATATATAGTTTTGTTTTGTTTTGGAATCCATCATACGCGTGATGTGTACACAAACGATGGTGTAGTCTTCTTGAAAAACCATAATAAATTCCAAAATGATGAAATATCATACGTAAAAATTACAAACGAATTGTTTGTCCAGAACAAATAATAATTAAACACTGAATTGAACTATAGACGTGTTTTAAATAATGTTCACCACTCGTGGCACGGGGAAAACTTGACGTTGACGCTTTTTTCGATTATTATTATACCGTCATATTATAAGGTAAGCAGCTAAAGAAAAACACACACACAGAAATCGTATAGGTGCATTATAGAATATACATATACTTTATTAATAAACACGTAACCGGGCCGCCCGTGGGAGTAGAAATAACGTTTATTACGCCTGCATATCGCGTAGAAGAGATGTAGTGTATCCTCATTGTTTATTCATACGTTCCTCTCGACTCTCTCGACAATCCGTTTATTGTTTTATTATTTTAATTCTGGACGACGGCGGCGACGGCGGTGACGGCGACGAGCACGTATATATAGAAACAAATAACGAAACGGATTGAACTCCCACGAGACTCCAATTATAAAAATTAAAAACTAAATACAAAACGATTCGAAAACGGACGTGAGAAAAAGATTTTTTAAAGAAATAGCCTTTCGGTTGACTATACATAACATGCTCTCCCACCGGCCACCACCACCACCCAACGGAGATTGGAAACGGGGATTTCGAGTCGTGCTATTATAAGATTTTAGTGAAGAAAACTTGTAAAGCGGTCCGAAATGCTTTGTTTTTACCTATAACGCCATGTGTCTCCTTATACGATTATGGTTTGCAGAGAGAAACAAAACGAGAGTGAAAAACAGAATCAGATAGGTCCATACTTATATGCGTGTATACTTTCTGACCGCGATTCGTATACCTCAGCCCGTAGTGCATTGTTGTATTATCGTATACATCATCACACGAGACAAACTCTAGACGTCACCGCCTACCCGTTTTCGGCTTTGTTCGGTTACAACGACGGGAGGGATGTAGGTACCAATAATATATATATAATTCAGGGTCTTTAATTGAAATGGCGCAGGTTCAAAAATCGTGTTTGGAAGTTTTGTCTGTGTATAAGTAAAGTGTATACATACACACACACATTCACATTGTTTGCTTTTCCATAAACGTCGTCTCTGGTTTTGCAGAATATAGCAAGAAAAAAATGTTTA